ATGTGATGAAGACTTGCGAAGGTCCTAGTAATGGTGATGCGAAACCTAGTGGCCAAGATGCCGTGCTTGGTAATTGGAAAGACGCTCCATTCTTGGTTAGCCCGGGGAGGAGTTGTGGTGGTTTATTTTGTTGTCATTTCTGTTGTCTGGATTAGTTTTAGGGTTGTAATCCGGATATTGTCTTGTGACTCAAACCCTTCTATCCTTTTATTTTGCCTAGTTTGTTTAGTCGTAGTAGCTCGTTTAGTGTTGTCTGGTTTTGTTCCAGGGTTGTGCCCCAGTTTATTTTGCTTGTCTTGTTGTTCAAACCCTTTCACCGTCTGTCTAATGCAATTTCCTGTTTTCTGTTATTTCTGGTCATTTTTTGTTTAGTTCTCTTCTCCTTTTATAGTTTTTTTCCTCATGCTGGCTAACATGACATGCACGCATAATTCTAAGCCTGGTTTTAAAGTTAGTTTAATCATGAAGCAATGAAACAATTTTGAAGATGATATGGACATTTGACGGAAATAAGTACAAATTTGACATTTTGAGATCATTTGAAGCCCGAACCATGTGAAATTGGGGCAGATAATTTGGGAAGTTTATAAGGTGACAAGAATTCGTTAAAGGAGAGTGCATCCCGGACGATTTGAAGCAAGCAACTTTGAGTTCAAATGCATCTCAAGTTTCAAAAATAAAGTCAAGGAAGTTTTTTCCGAATTGACGGAGGATATCCATTGTGAAAAGGGAATCACCCAACGAGAGTTTTGTACTTGACAAGGCGCTAAAGAAGAGTGGAAGGAATATCAGTAATATCAATGCCGAAGCCGCAAAAGAAATATTGTGCATGATCTTCAATTTTCATTTTAAGTTGCATGTGTTGTACTTGGCATTTTCAGGGATTTGGAGGCCCTCTTTCAGCTACCCAAACACTTATACCATTTGATACCCTTTTGAGTCTGTACTTATTTCTTTGACCTCCCCTCTTTTGGAATCTAGTTAGAGTCATACGAAAAAAAGAGGGAAGAACTCATGTCCCCATAGGTTTATTTTACAAAGTTCATTCCAAAAGGCAAATTCAAAAAAAAGGAGATAAAAATAGAGATAAAGAAGAAGAAGAAAAAAGAAGGAAAAAGAAAAAAAAGAAGGAAAAAGGAAAAACAGAGAAAAGAAAGAAAAGGAAAAGAAAAGGCAAATAGTAACAAAAGGTAGTTTTGTGAACTACGCTTGACCTGATTTTTGTCACCACAAGATATGTAGGCGGCCTTAGGGTTCGGTCATACCAAATAAAATATTTCATAATCCCACGAAGTCGAGAGTGGGAAATTAAAAAACAAAAGAGGGAAAAATATATTCAAATTTCCCTGTTTTAGAAATTGGGGCAAAATTTTTATAATGGATTCAAAAAGTTGTAGATAAATTAACCCTTTATTTTGAGCCTTTATGATATCTTTTCTTTCTAACCCTGTCCAAAGGCCATATTGCAGTCCAAAAAAGACCTCTCAGATAATCTTTGAGAGTGCTGAGTTTAGACATGCCAAGAGTATATGATGTTTTTACCATGGTTAATGCCTTGTCATCTGCAGAATCAGAGAAAATAAGAAGAAAAGAACAAAATGAGAGAGTGTTATTGGTGAAAACCTTCACAGGTACCATAGGGCGATGGTGAGTTGAGAGAAGGAACACAATGAGAGAGGCTTGATGGTGAAAACCCTTTGGGCACCACAAGTCGAATAAGGATCGTGAATCAGATAGAATAATCGGATCATTGAAGCCCAGATTCACGGCGAAAAGGTACAACAAGAGTTGAACATTAAACTTTCTTGACAGATTAGGTCATTAATCCAAAAATACATGTCATGGTCGTTAGAGTTGGTATCCATATCCGATAAGTTTCTACTTTGTAGTTTTCTTGTTAGGAATCATCTCCTTCCATTGTCCTTTACTCTGTTCCTTTTGTCTTGTTTGCTTCTTTTTCCTGAGTCTATTTGGTCGGAACAAGTGATAAATGACTACAAAATTTGCTACCAGCTTTCTAATTGCATAAACGGAATATGTTTGGCACATTAAAGTGGCATAAGTCAAAGAAATAATAGTAGACGCACTGAGTTGGCAACACTCAATGTGTTTTGGGATTCATGTAAAATACAAAGGTTCGATATGGGTCAATTCATGAGCAATGCAACAGATAGAGGGTATTGGGTTTGAACGGATCGGAGGTACTTTCTGTGATAAGGTTGACAGAGAAAATGGTTAACCAATAACAAGCAAGGTCTCCCAAGCAGAAATCAAAGTTATCATGGCAAGTGAAGGGGCAATAGATCTCAAGGCCAAGGCTAGTGGGTTAAGTCAGGAAAGAATAGCATGCACATTGAGTGAGTGACAATTGACGTGCTTTGGGATTCATGTGAAACACAAAGGTTCAGTATATGTCAATGCCTGAGCACAATGCAATAGATGAATGGTATTGGGTTTGAACGGATTAGAGGTATTTTTCGTGATAAGGGTAACAGAGAAAGTGGTCAGTCAATAAACAGGCAAGGTCTTTCGAGTTGAAATCGAGGTTATCATGGGAAGTGAAGGAGCAATCGCCCTCAAAGGCAAGGCTACAAACCAAATACCATATTTATAAACTCACAAGTTTTTTTGTTTGAAACAAGGACGAAAATTGTGTCCAAATCAAAGCTTGGAGGTTTGAATTTTTTTCAAGTGTCGTGCCCAAATTTTGTCAACACAAAAGCGATTTGAGAAGGGGAAAGTAAAATTTGTTCGATCTACAGGAACCCTCCATGAGGAAAAGCATGGTTCAGGGGCAAGGAATTTTGTTCGTTCTACAGAGATCCTCTAGGAAGAGAGCATGGCTCAACTATCAAACTGGGGCAGAAAAATTTCTTTTGTTTTGTCTGTTGTTGTAATCAGGTTCAAAGGCAGCAGTTTCGGTGGAGTCAGTTCAAGTGTTGGAAATCAGGAGCCCACTTGGAGAACAAAGGAAAAGCAATTCAAGTGTCGGTAATCAGGAGCCCACTTGGAGAACAAAGGAAAAACAGTTCAAGTGTCGGTAATCAGGAGCCCACTTGGAGAACAAAGGAAAAACAGTTCAAGTGTCGGTAATCAGGAGTCTACCTGGAGAACAAAGGGAAGCAACAATGTTCAAAGGAAGACAACAATCAGGAGCCCACCAGGAGAACAAAGGGAATGCAGTAGTGTTCAAAGGAAGACGACAACCAGGAGCCTACCTGGAGAACAAAGGGAAGGCAGCAGTGTTCAAGGGAAGACAACAATCAGGAGCCCGCCTGGAGAACAAAAGGAAAACAACATGTTCAAAGGAGTTTAGCAATCAAAAGCCCACCTTGAGAACAAAGGGAAGCAGTTCAAGTTTCAATTAACAACAGTGCAAGTGTTCAGCAATCAGGAGCCCACCTAGAGAACAAAGGGAAAACATCAAGGTTCAGTAATCAGGAGCCCACCTGGAGAACAAAGGGAGAAACAATTCAAGTGTTCAGCAATCAGGAGCCCACCTAGAGAACTAAGGGAAAGCAGCAAGGTTCAAAGGAGTTCAGTAATCGGGAGTCCACCTGGAGAACAAAGGGAGAAGCAATTCAAGTGTTCAGCAATCAGGAGCCCGCCTGGAGAACAAAGGAAAAACATCAAGGTTCAAAGGAGTTCAGCAATCAGGAGCCCACCTGAAGAACAAAGGGAAACAGTTCAAGTTTCGAGGAGAAACAGTACAAGTGATGGAAATCAGGAGCCCACCTAAGAACAAAGGGAAGCACTTCAAGTCTCAAGGGAAAAAACAGTGCAAATGTTGGTAATCGGGAGCTCACCTGGAGAACAAAGGGAAAGCAACAAGGTTCAAAGGAAGACAGTTCGAATATTGGCAATCAGTTGCCTACCTGGAGAATAAGAGAATTCACTTCAGAATGCAATTCGAGTCAACAACGAAAGAAGCTCGTGGCAAGAATGCGAGTCAACAGTCTGAGATGATCAATGGAAGTTAGTCACAATCCAGAATTAAAAAGAAAGAAGTAGAAGAAAAGCAAAAAGTGAATCCACATGCAGAAGTTGATGAAAGATGTGAGCTGCTCAAGACATGACTGAAGTCACAAGCATGGTGTGTCTGGCTTTGATCCGAAAAGCTGAAGAAGAATGAATTAGCACCTGCAACTAGCAAGCATCAAGGTTCAAATCCAAAGTCTGCATGAAGAATCATTCAAAACTCAAGATCAAGCTTCAGAAGACTTATAGATATGAATCTTGTAACTCATAGTTGACAGACTTAGTCTTTTTCATTTTTTTAAATTTTGATGTAACATCAAGACCGCGGACCGGAACCTCGACGGAACGGCACCTCGACCGGCTCTCCACCTCGGTATACTCCATCATCTCACTTAACTCTAAACTACACGTGGCCTGATTCCTTTATATCCAAGGATATGTAGGCATCTCAGATACCAGGGCTCGGTCACATTCTCTTTTTCTCTTAGTTTTCGTCTCCTTAAATAAGGGTCGGGTCAAAAAATCTGTCTAGTCGTTCTTTGTCCGAAAACTCTGCGTGTTTCCAGTCAAAGAGGAGCAGCTGTAGACATGTGATTTTTGACCCTCCCCAAGATTTTTTATATTTTACCATCAAAATATTTAATTTAGGCTTAATATCGCTATTTCAACTAATTTTGACTCTTTTACTTTATTTTATTACAAGAAAATAAAAAGTACAAAAAATAGTTTTATTAATATTTTGTAGTCATTTTTAATCTTGAAAAATACCAAAAATAGTTTTGTGTTAACGACCAGTCTTATTTTAATAATTATTTTACTTAAGTAGGACTAATTAATAAATAAGGTCGTATTTTAGTTTCGTTCGTGAAGAAAGAATAAAATTTGGGCTCGAGCAAACCATTTCTAGAACTAATTTTGGACCCAGCCCATAATTCCTAGGCTCATACCCCTTAACCTAAAAAATCCTACAAATACCTCATACGTAGACCTAATGGGGAGATATACAGATAAGGACAATTAGCGCCGTTTCCTCTGAAAAAGATCAACTAAAGAGAATACAAAAAATGAGAGCCTAAGACCTAAGAGCAAAAATACACAAAAATGGGAGAACCTAAGAGATCGGTCGTTTCTTGATTTTAGGAGGGGACAAAAACTCTTCATCTTCTTCCTATTCTTTGAAAACAAAAGAACAACAAAAGAGATCTCTAAAGCAAAATCTTAGGACCGCCGCTAATACACAAAGACCCCTCCCCCACCGAGCTTCTTCTTCTTCTTCAATGAAAGACAAGCACCATTCGTTTGATTCTAACCTAGAGAGCTTTCATTTTCCTAGAAACATCAGAACCATCTCCTTCTCAAAAATCAAATGTCACAGTCATCTCTTCTTTGAATAGAGATGAAGGATCTCTTTTCCTAATTTTGAAAGAACAAAACCGGCGACCACCCCTGTCATCATCTTCAGCCACGCCACCCTTCCGAAACCCACCGGAAAAACTCAGTGGAACACTGCTCCAAGCCCACACCTTCTTCACAAAACAGTCACACATATACTCACGAGAGAGACAGAAAATCGGGATAGAGGGAGAGGAGAAAAGTTCTAGACGAACTTCGATTGAGGTTTGGTTCTGAGTTCGTTCACCGATTGGAGAGTTCCATTGCCAAATCGAGTTTCGCCAACTGGTTCACGGTCTCAGCTTCATTCTTTGGCTTTATTGTTGATTTCTCTCGACTTTTCGCTGTTGTATTCACTTGAGGTGATTCCGAGCAGAAATAAATTGAAATCTCACTTTCAGGTCCATATTCTATCTTTTCCTCTATTTTTCCAGTGAATTGAAGTATGATAAGTGTTAGGATTAAATCAATTTGGAGAGCATTTGAGCTAATTGAAATTTGATTTGAGAAGTATTTGAATTTTGAAGTGTATGGATTAACTAAGGTTGGATATGAGTTTGTTGTTGTGCCTTACATGACTTTATTTTGTGTGTTTTAATATATTGCTTCAGATCTGAACGCTTATGTTTTATATGATCGATTCGAGCTCGGCATGGCAACGTAGTTATTGGAGGGATCATGAAATCAGTGATGACTTGCTTGCAATTTTCATAAGTGTTTCGGCATGTTCGTGTCAACTTTAAGTTGTTAGACTGTCACTAGATATTCTTTATGTGTTTGTTGAACTAGTTTAGTCATTCCAACATTTTGAAGCATGTCTCGTTGTGCTTAAATCAGTTTGGTTGATCATTGTCGTCATTTTAGGTACGAAATATCGATGTCATTGTTCGTGATCTTCTTGGAATATTTGGAGGTTGTTTCTGTTAGCTTGACTTGAGAAATGATCTTGAGTCCCTGTTGATTGTATGTTTGGCGATGTACAGATCGATCTATACTTTTGTGATAAAACATTGAAGTTCTGTGTATGTCGAGGTTCGATACGGCAATGCCTTAGTTTTCGATTTCATGAAATTGGTTTTGTTTACCTTGTTAAGTTTGAACATTGGTATTAGGTTTGCTTGGAATTTTACATATGGATATGGAATCTGTGTAATTAACCTCCCTGTTCTAGTTTTGATTGATTTAGTGGCTGATTTTTCGGACCATTCTGTGTTCATTGCGAGTGTTTGTGAAAGAACCGAGTGCGCGATGTTGCATTTATTCGTATTTCCATTGTCCACGTCTTCTGGAATCCCGCATCTATTTTCCTTCTAAATAAATGCTCGACATGTATTTGGTGTTTGATTGTGGAAGGCAATTTGATCAAGCGAATTGTGTACTAATTTGGCGCACCAACTGTTGGTGTAAGTTTGTGACATCTTCCAAAAGTTGTACTCTTATTCTAAATACACGTAGTAGCAATTTGAAATCAAGTTCGTCATCAAAATACCACTTGAGCAGTAAGCATCGATGTGCACGAGTTTAGTCGGTGTAGATTGCAATCTGGATTGTTTCGTTCTATGTCTGTATTTCATTTGCTTCTTTCAGCTATTTTCCCTAGTTTGATTGAGCTATAACTGGACAAACTTGAAATCCTTAATGGAGAAATATCTACTTCCAACTTTATATTTTTCTTCCTTCTCAATAGCTTTGTTAAATTAATTTTTCTTCTTTCTCAATAGCTTTTGTTAAATTAAAAAAGTTAGTCGAATCCCGTAGAATTCCATAGTATTAATACCTCACATGCAACCCTGAACTTTGAGACAATCAAACAATATATACTCGTAGTTTGCTTTAGGCGCGTTTAATGATTATCATGGCTACAGGTACGGTTCCTGTGACGTAGTTGTGATTTGTAATTGTTATAAATTCGGGTGTGCATTTCATGTGACCCGATTCTAATTTTCAACAAGGTTAAATAGAACGTGTCGTGAACTGCGGGTGCATTTCATGTAGCGTGGCTTACGATGTGTTTTAAATAACCTTGAATTTTCCTGAAATATTAAAAGCGGTTTTAAAGTTTAAAAATGCACATAGGCTTAAAAGTGTTTTAAAATCAGATGATTAGGCCAATAATAACAGTTGAGCGACCATGCTAGAACCATGGAACTCGAGAATGCTTAACACCTTTTCCCGGGTTAACAGAATTTCTTACCTGGATTTCTGTGTTCGTTGGACTGTAAAATAGAGTCAATCTTTCCTCGATTTGGGATTTGAACCGGTGATTTGGGACACCATAAAATATCTTAAGTGGCGACTCTGAATTTGATATAAATAATCCCGTTTCGATTGTCACTTAAATTGGAAAAAAAACTCCCTAAAGGAGGTGTGACACTAACCAACACTCCAGCAACATTCATGCATTTGTTGCACATCGTATTACGGCCCTATCTTGACTCATTCATCATTGTATTTATTGGCGACATTCTAGTGTACTCCCGAAGTCGGGAGGATCATGAGCAATACTTGAGACTGTGCTTAGACCTTCAGAGAAAAAAAGTTATACAAAATTCTCAAAGTGTCGAGTGAGGGGATTAAGTTGGATCCAAAGAAGGTTGAGGCAGAGCAGAGTTGGCCTAGACCGTCCTTAGCGATGGAGATAAAGAGTTTTCTTGGTTTGGTGGAGTATTATCGGCGATTTGTAGAGGGTTTCTTATCTATTACAGCACCTATGACAAGGCTGACCCAGAAGGGTGCTCCATTCCAATGGACACAAGAGTGTGAGGAGAGCTTTCAAAAGCTCAAGACAACTTTGACTATGGCCCCAGTAATGGTATTGCCTACAAGTTCGGGGTCTTATACTATGTATTGTGATGTGTCGCGTATTGGTCTCAGTACGGTGTTGATGCTGAATTGTAGGGTGATTGCCTACGCGTCTAGACAACTGAAGGTACATGAAAAGAACTATCATGTCCACGACCTTGAATTAGCAGCTATTATTCATGCCTTAAAGATTTGGCGGCACTATTTGTACGGTGCCCCTTGTGAGATCTACACCGATCACCAGAGTCTGCAGCATTTGTTCAAATAGAAGGATATTAACTTATGTCAGTGGAGGTGGTTAGATCTGCTTAAGGATTATGATATCACTATTCTATACCGTCCCGGGAAGGCTAATATAGTGGTCGATGCCTTAAGTCACAGGGCGGAGAGTTTGGGGAGCTTAGCATATCTACCAACAGCAAAGAGGCCATTGGCATTAGATGTTCAGGCCTTGGCCAACTAGTTTGTTAGATTGGATATTTTGGAGCCGAGTCGAGTTTTGGCTTGTGTGGTCTTTCAGTCTTCTCTTTATGATCATATCAGGGAGCGTCAGCATGACGGCCTCCATATGTTTGTCCTTAAGGACATGGTTCAACATGGTGATGCTAAGTAGGTAACTATTGGAGATCATTGTGCATTGAGGATGCAGAACAGGCTATGTGTGCCCAATGTAGATGGTTTGCGTGAGTTGATTCTCCAGGAGGCTCACAGTTCGCGGTACTCTATCCATCCAGGTGCCGCGAAAATGTATCAGGACTTGAGGCATCATTATTGGTGGAGGAGAATAAAGAAGGACAAAGTAGAGTATGCAGCTCACTGTCTAAGTTGGCAGCAGGTGAAGTATGAGCATCAACGGCCGGGTGGATTGCTTTAGAAGCTAGAGATTCCAGATTGGAAATGGGAGCGGATCACTATGGATTTCATTTTTGAGCTTCCACGGACTCAGCGAAAGTTTGATGCTGTTTGGGTGATTGTGGATAGGTTGACCAAGTCAGCTCATTTCATTCTTGTGATGACTACTTATTCTTATGAGTAGCTAGCTTGAGTTTATATCCGCGAGAACGTTAGGCTTCATGGTATACCGATAACTATCATCCTTAATCAGGGTACGCAATTTACATCACGGTTCTGGAGGGTCGTACAACATGAGTTAGTTATTCAGGTTGAGTTGAGCACAACATTTCATCCTCAGATGGACGGAGAGTCTGAGCGTACTATTCAGATACTGGAGGATATGCTCTAGGAATGTGTGATGGAGTTTGGGGGTTCTTGGGATCAGTTCTTGCCACTTGCGGAGTTGTCAGTCGAGCATTCAGATGGCACAAATGAGGCTTTGTATGGTAGACAGTGTCGGTCTCCAGTAGGTTGGTTCGAGCCGGGCGAGGCTAGGCTATTGGGTACGGACTTGGTTCAGGATGCCTGGGAGAAGGTTAAGGTGATTTAGGATCGACTTCGCATAGCCCAGTCCAGACAGAAGAGTTATGCGGATCGGAAGATTCGCGATGTTGCATTCATGGTTAGGGAGCGGATCTTGCTTCGGGTTTTGCCCATGAAGGGTGTCATGAGGTTCTAAAAAAAGGGCAAGCTGAGCCTAAGGTTTACTAGCCAATTCGAGATGTTGCTACGAGTTGGGGAGGTTGCTTATGAGCTTTCCTTGCCTCCCAGTCTAGTAGGAGTTCATCCAGTATTCAATGTTTCTATGCTCTGGAAGTACCATGACGATCCGTCTCATGTGTTGGATTTCAGCTCAGTCCAGTTGGACAAGGATTTATCTTATATTGAAGAGTCGACGACTATTTTGGACATGCAGGTTCGAAAGCTGAGGTCAAAGAACATTGCTTCCGTGATGGTTCAGTGGAGAGGTCAGTAGTCGAGGAGGCGACTTGGGAGACCGAGCATGATATGTGCCGCTGTTATCCTCATCTTTTCACCACTTCAGGTATGTCTCTATGCTCATTCAAGGACGAACGATTATTTAAGAGGGGGAGGATGTAACGACCCAACTAGTTGTTTTGAGAGTATTATTCCTGATCCCCTATTTACTGCTTCACCTGTATCATTTTATTCTTATGTGACTTGTCGGGAGGTTTTATCTTTCCTTTTGGAGTAAAATGGGACACTTAGTCCCTAAAATGGAAGCTCAAGTTCTAGGGAATTGACCGTAGTTGGAATTGTGTGAAGACGACTCTAGAATGGAGTTTTGTCGGTTCCATTAGCTCCGTTGGGTCATTTTGGACTTAGGAGCATGTCCGGATTGTGATTTGGAGGTCCGTAGCTAAATTAGGCTTGAAATGGCGAAAGTTGAATTTTTGGGAAGTTTGACCGGGAGTCTACTTTTTGATATCGGGGTTGGATTCCGATTTCGGAAGTTGGAGTAGGTCTGTAATATCAATTATGACTTGTGTGAAAAATTTGAGGTCAATCGGACGTGATTTTATAGGTTTCGGCATCGGTTGTAGAAGTTTAAAGTTTCAAAGTTCATTAAGTTTCAAATGGAGTGTGATTCATGTTTTTATTGTTGTTTGATGTGTTTTGAGGGCTTGACTAAGTTTGTATGATATTTTAGGACTTGTTGGTTGGTTTGGTTGAGGTCTCGGGGGTCTCAGGTAATGGTGCACTGTGGGCCAGGCCTGAACCGGACCGGACCGGGCCCGCGGTCCTAAAGGGCCTAACGGGCCTGGTGGGCCGGTCTTAACGATTCTTTAAAGCCCGTGGCGGGCCGGTTCTTCCTAGAAAGCACACGAGCCCGGGACCGGCTGGAGG